CTGTTCTTCCTTTTTGAGTTAATTAAACTGATAATATTTGATTAACTTGAATTAAATAAGCATCGCTTAAACATATACATTAAACTGTACTCATTTCTAATGTTTATTGTGTGTGCAGTCAGCATGTCGTTGTGTCCCTGAGACACTTCACCCCAAAGTGCTCCTGTGGGGATTGTCCACAGTATTGAGTTTGTAAGTTACTTTGGATTAAAGTGTCTAATAAGTGACATGTGATGTCATGATGAACCAATGAGGAACAGATCCAGTAGTGAGGAGAATAATTGTCATCATACTCTTATAGAAATAAAATAAAAAAGACAGCAGGTCTAAGTAGATTTGGAGACTGCAGAGAAATAATGTTTGTAATTGTTTATGTCTATTGATTACCTGCTCAGGATCTGTGTTTCTTAACTTTGGGTCCAGTTGTTCCGGGAAATGAAAGTCCAGAAGGAAGGAGGTGGTCTTTGTGACCAGTTTACGTATCAATATCTAACAAGACTTTATCCTCTATCTCAGGATATTAATTACAATAAGAAATAATTGTGATGCAAATGCTTCAAACTGGAGACAGACTTTTACATTTCGTACAAGAGTGAGACTTAAATCCAGCAGCAAGGAGTCAAAATGTCATCATATTATCAATAAACAGAAAATAAAAAAGACAGCAGGTCTAAGTAGACTTGAGGAAGGCAGATCAATAATATCTGTTATTGTTTACGTACGGATTATCTGCTCAGGATCTGTGTTTCTTAAGTTTGGGTCTAGTTGTTCCGGGAAATGAAAGTCCAGAAGGAAGGAGGTGGTCTTTGTGACCAGTTTACGTATCAATATGTAACAAGGCTGGATCCTCTACCTCGCAACGTGAGTTAAAGTATGAATAAACAACACCAAACCTCTACATCCTGATGAAACCGGATGGATTGGGTCAAACTAGTCAGAGAGTCAGACAGAAAATATATTGCTTGTATCCGCCCGGTGATTTGGATCAACTCCAGATTTGACCCAGTTCTTCATCAGACCACGTGACATCCTTCCACCAAATTCAGGACATCCAAGTCAAGACGTCTTCAACAAACCATAAAGACCCAGCGCAGAACAATCAGCTTGTGTTTCACCAGGTGTCATGACAATCAGGCCGGGTATTTTGTTCTGATCAGGAAACTAGAAGGACAGTCAGAGAGCCACCAGGACCCTCTCTTGAGATGTTGATGAGTTCATAACGACCCGGGGAATTTCCTGAGAGTCCGGCCCGTTCCTTTTACTGTTAACTGGCTGACGATCAGACGATCAAACCAATCAAAAGCCTAGAAAGGCATTGGGAAAGCGCTGAAGAATTATGCATCCCTCCATTTCTTTGGGATATGCTCTAAAGTTCTTCTTGTGGGAAAACCCCACTATTTCCCAGAAGAGACTGAAGCCATTTACCTTTCTTTAGGATGTTGTTGTTGAAAATGTTGTTCAATAAACAGGAAGTTGCTGCAGATTGGGCTTCTGATACGGAGTGGTTAGAGACAGAACTGTAAAAACGAGATGGTGACGGACAAAGCTCTTAACTCCAGGCCAAGAAACCGTACTCTTCAAACCAATGGATGACGTCTTAGAGACTTAAATCTATTTCCTATACAGGCTATGTTCAGGTAACCCAAATGTAATGTCCATATCCTTTGCCTGCAATCCAATAATGTATTGTTGTATGTCCCACAATCCTCTTTGTCCAACATGGTTTTGTTGGAGGGTAAACAGTCTGGTTCCCTGAGATACTTGAATAAATATGCACGACACGTGTTTTAACTGTCGGTTCGAGGCCATTTATAAAGAAACACACATTCCTAAACAGCTGTGATTGACCCCCAGCTGAAGGGACCTTAAAGGCTGACAGACGTGAACGAGAGGTTTCCGGAAGGCCTCGTTAATGATTGAGCGGCTAACGGAGTGAAACATGTTCTTCATCAGCAAAACGCCGGCGGTACATAGTGAACAAGGTTTTCCAAACTAATGACCGCTGGGCTTTCTTTCCTCAGAGACGCTTTGGACATGGGTCAGACGGCGAAGACGAGTGCAGAGGGAGATCGATGAGAGGAAGGAAGGAAAGGACTCAGGAGACGAGATGACGCCAGAGGTATTTATGAGACAACAACTTAGAGCTAGACCGAGAAGTTTGATATTCAGACGTCTATTCATTGTGTTTCAAACCAGAGAGATGAAACGATGTGGCTCAGAAACCCAGAACATTTCCATTTTGTAAATCTGCTTGCCCGTTAAAACCTTACTGTACTGTGAGATCAACATGTTACATCCAAGAGGACAACACTTGCAAGTCTCTCTTAGATTAAAGTGAATCATTCACAAGAAATGGAAGTTGAGTTTGTGCTTTGATCCCAACTATCTTTATTCTTTGAATCCCCAGACAACACATGTTCCTGTTTTACTGTTACCTGCACCCATCTTTGACTTTTAAACCACTTTTCTTTTCAATTCCCAGAATTAGGATATTTGAACCTGACTTCCTGCATGAATCTTTGGACTTTAAACCTTTTGAGCATTCCTCCTCGAATCTCTGGACTTTCAGCCAGTTTAAAGGAATCCAAACTTCTTTTTAAGTATTCCTTCCTGAAGTGCTAAGGCTCAACCCGTCTTAAGACTTCTTTCATGAATCTTTGCACTTTAAAACCCTTTAACTGCCGGACCAAGAAAAAAGCTATGGAACATTTTTTTTTTGTTGCATTTTCTTATCAAATGGGCCACAAATAAGCACAAACAATTATTTATTTTTTGACTGACCACACAATTTTGTTTTTATGCGCCTCTACCAAATGGTCGAGCTGGCCTTCTATGGTAAAAGTAATCATCATATACAGTACAGTATTTGTATGCATCAAACTCAAATAAAACACAAACTCAAATACATTTGTTTCTTTTATGGAAAATGAGCAATATATACAACCAGATATATTCATAAAAGATAATCAATTATCATTGTAAAACAAAGTGGAATGGAACTTGAGTTTGTGTTTTGATCCCGACTATCTATTCATTATATAGCCACATCATAGAATATATGCATTACATTAATGCACACAATGTGCACAATATCTGTTTTCTTTTTTTATTAATGCCAAAATGTATTTCATATTTTATTCCATTCTATTTCTATGTAAATAATGCTAAATTGTTTTCATTATTATTCATATTTTGTTATGTTATAGTTTTCTGTGTTACATTTTAGTTTTACTTTTATGCATGCACCACGACATCAAGTCAAATTCCTCGTACGTGTCGACCTACCTGTGGATCAAACTGATTCTGATTCTGATCACAAACTCAAGTTCCACTTCTTGTTGATTATCCACTTTAATCTAAGAGGGATAAGCAAGTTTTGTTCTCTTGAATTTATAATTTGAGTCTTACATTACAGTTAACGGGAAAGCAGAGTTAGAATATGGTTTAAAGTCCAACTATTCATGAAAGAAGTCTTAAAATAGCCTTAGTACTTCAGGAAATAATACTTAACAAGAGGTTTGGATTCCTTTAAACTGGTTGATCAAGTCAAATTCCTCGTACGTGTCAGAAAATTCCAAGAGGGACCGATCCAGTGGCCTTCACCATGTTATTGAACATGTTCATGTAAATGTCCATATTGTAACTGGACTGTACAAAACGTGCATATCCCTCTTAGATTAAAGTGGATAATCAACAAGAAGTGGAACTTGAGTTTGTGATCAGAATCAGAATCAGATTTCCAGGTAGGTCGACACGTACGAGGAATTTGACTTGGTGTCGTGGTGCATACATAAAAGTAAAGCAAAAATGAAAACCACAGATAGAGCTAGACCGAGTAGTTTGACATTCAGACGTCATTGTGTTTAGAAGCTGTTTCTAACCAGAGAGATGCAAACATGTGGCTCAGAAACAATGTTCATGTGAATGTCCATATTGTAACTCTGCTTGCCCGTTAATAGCCTTAAGAGACGTACTGTACGAGAACAAAACTTGAATAGATGTGTTAGATCCAAGTGGATCATTCACAAGACATGGAACTTGAGTTTGTGTTTTGATCCGGACTATCTTTATCCCCAGATGAAACTCCAAGAGGAACGGATCCAATAACCTTCACCATGTTATTGAACCAGATCTCTAACGTGACTCCGGACGTCGGGTTGTTGCCGATCGAGGCTCTGATCGACCAATCGAACGCCTCTTCCCTCGCGCCGCCCTCCTGCAGCATAGATGAGTCCTACAAGTACGTGTTCCTGCCGGTGTGCTACTCTCTGACCTTCGTGTTCAGCCTCAGCCTGAACTCGGTGGTGTTGTTGCGGTCGTGCGGCACCAGGAGGCGCTGGAACACCTCTCTGATCTACATGGTGAACCTGGCCTCCACAGACCTGATGTACGGCCTCTCGCTGCCCTTCCTGGTGGCCAGCTACATCCTGAGGGACCGCTGGGTGTTCGGAGACTTCATGTGTCGCCTCGTACGCTTCCTGTTCTACTTCAACCTGTACTGCTCCATCTTCTTCCTCACCTGCATCTCCGTGCACAGGTAGGACACCGCAGCGTAGCGATGGAGAGTCCAGGCGTAGCTTTGACGAGTATATTTATTGTGCCAGGCAGGGAAGCAGCGAATCTCCATTTTCAAATGGGACGTTTTTAGCATGATATGATATTCTGAAAGAAAACTATAGAATAAAAATCGAGGCTTCTTCCAGACTGTTTAAGACTTTAAAGACTAACAATAGTTTTTAAGACCTATTGCGGCTTTTTAAGTTAAGACTGTTTAAGACTTCTCTCCTTGTCCTCAGGAGCAAAATCATAATTTTAGTTTACGATTAATTTGATTGAACCTTCCAAAGTTGACACGATTTGGGTTTTATAATGTAAACATTAACATAAACAGATTTCTTATTGCTATTTTAAGACTTTAACCTGTTAAGCCCGGGAGCCCCTGCCCCCGGGGGGGTCCCGCAACATCTTGCAAGAAACAGCGTCTGAGGGCTTCTTAACATTTAACAACCTATTAATGTGTCATACCCACTTAACGGGAAGAAACTCAGCTACCTGACGATATGAACCATTTGTACCTAAACAAAACACAACTCTAACGCCAAGCGTCTGAATTAGCACTAAGCGAAAGAGTGCTAACGCACGTAGCACATAACTCACGGTATAAATATTTTATACTTCATCGGATCTGCACAAACAAGATAGATCGAAGGCGAAACCAGACAAAACACAACTTAGCTTTACGGTGCCAAAACGTCAATAGGACTTAGCTTTGCTGTTTTCTGTTCTAAAGTTGTGTTCAATGGCATTAAAACACATATACACGCTGCTGAAGGTTAATCCAATGTCTCTGTGTCACTTTGAAATCATTACTGATAATCCATCATAACATGTTGTCAATAAGAGTAGTTTTCATATATAGCTGTTATCATAGCTACCAAACTGCGTGCGCATCACTCTCACTCCTCAATGGGTAATGTTTAAATGGATTTAGGAACTTCCCCTCGATTCTATTGGCTCTAACGGTTCAAAAGAGGTGTCAATCATCAAAATCGACCAATGGGTTCCAGAGATATGGTAAATCCACCCAAATGACCCCAGAGGTGCTTTTATTTGCTAAATCTCTCTAAAAAGGTCAAATGTCACTTGCTTTGCATCAATCCTGATACAGGGTACTTATTATATGTTATAGTTTGGATTCCTAAAGCTTTTAGTCTACCATCCCATCATCCAAGGGTGGTTTTCACTAGAAGTAATGGTTTATTTTGGACGGACACTATAATTTACATTTTTTTACTTTGTTCAATCTGAATTTACTTTTATATTGATTCTGACTCTTCTGCATCCAACTCACAGGTTTATCATTACTTTGAGAAAAAAGATTATTAATGTAACCCTTTTAGAAGAGAAGATATGGTCCTTTGTTCTGGGAATGTCATTTTCGAGCCTGAGACCTGAAAAACAGGCTCAGGGGTTAACAGGTTAACCTATTGAGGCTTCAATCAGACTGTTTAAGACTTTAAAGACGTATTAAGAAAACTCTCCCTGTTCCCCGTCTTGAGCTTGAATCTCAGGATCCATGTATCTGTGATCCTCTCCAGAATGGAAGTAGTCATCACATACAGAGCATCAACTAGTTCCTGAACAGTGTCCTTCACATG